AGTTCTTGGATGTTTCTCATTTAAGAAACATCCATTCCTGTCAAAGCTACTCCAAAATGAACAAGTCACTTGAAATTGCTAGAAAGCAACGAGAACAGCCTTTAGCCAGAGGAAAAGCTGGAGTGTGGAGCTATCAGATCTGGTTTGTATCAAGAATAGTAGCTGCCAGAGCACAGGGCTCAGGAGTCTGCTGTGGTGAGAGCTTCTTCAGACTGGATTGTGGCACTGGTGTGATGTCCCACCATCACAGAACATCCTGCTTGCTTTGTATGGGGCTTTCAAATCTACATAGGCTCAACATGGGGGAGCTGGAGGGAGGAAATACAGATATGGGGCAGGAGAATCACTCTGGTTAAATATTATGCTCTTTCTCAGTTTCTACTGTGTCACAATATTTCAGATAACAGCATTCAGAGAGACACTGATTCCAAGAGCCTCCGTTCTCTGTCCTACTTGTATTATGTGTTCTTCAGTGACATGTATTGATTTCTTTTCCTAAGTCAAAATTAGGGTTGGATATCTCGTACACTGTTTGGAGCAGCAGAGGACAAGACAAATGCATGCCCAGAGAACTCCGTTGTTCAAAGTTTCAGTCTCCTTACCCTTCTCCTGGCAAGCCTTAAGCTCATAGTTAAACAGAAAATTGGTAGGCTATACCAGTGAAAGTGATGCAAATATTACATACCAAAGAGTGAAACTCAAGATAGCTCCCCACTGCACAACAGCAAACAGTTCAGCCATAAATCTGATTTAGTTTCAGATGCTTCCCCTCCCCAGAACTCTCTAGTTCTATGTGATAGTTCAACTGAGTGTTGAATAGAAAACAACTTTATTTTCCTATGCCCCACACTGTTGCATAGTTTCATGCCAGTCACACCCTAGCCTGGGAACTTTTCTGTGCCATGAAACACGAACTAGACAGAAGAGAAAATGTCCATAAGTAAATAAAGTTCGGCTTCAGGCCTTACATTCTTACAGAGTGGTTCTCACCTGAAGAGTTTAAGACTCTCAGGGATGCTTTTATTAGACTCCCTTAGCCCTTCTGAAACAGCTGGAGGCTTTTCAGGTGGATGCAAAATGTACACACAACTGTAAGATGTTTTTCTCTGCATAGCTGCAAGACAACATTTTCCTTATCTAATACAAACTAACTATTCTAAGTTGCCTTAATGATACTTTTAGGGCTATACATAACAAGATTTATAGCTCTGTCATCAGCTGAGGGAGTGCTCGGATTTCTTCTTGAGATACGCTAAGTGCTGTTTGTCAACTCGTGCTTAAGCTGACACCCCTCCCCGAGCTGCGGCGGGCACAAAACCTGCACGTCTTGGCTGGTTCTGGTCAGCTGCTGCTCGGGAACAGTAAAACCGATAGTGTGTCATGGTACAGGCTCTGCCTTGTTCCTCTGTAAATTACAGAACAGATCCTCCCGGCTGCAGCAAGGCGGATGTCTGCTCCAGTCCTTTTGTAATGGTGGGGGCAGGGAGGAAAGTTTGTGACAGCTGTCACATCTGCTAAGCTGTCAGAGCAGAGCGGAAGCTGATCGGTCATTTTCTGCACCACCTAAAGAATGTTTTCCAGCTTACCTGGAACTTTAAATCCAGTGCTGACTCTATTAATGCTGTTCCTACCAGTTTGACCTCGGTTCTTATGTGTCTCATCAGAAAAATCCCTTCCCCTTGTTCTTTTTACTCTTCTCTGAAAGGCTGTGTGGGACTAGGTCCATTTCCACATGGTGTTTTTTTTCCCTAAGGCTTGAAGATAATTTTGTGCCTCAGTTGCCACCAGAAATTATGAATCTGATTTCTCTCTTGCAGTCCCATTGAGTGGGTAAATCAACCCTGGGCAGTCAAACACAACTGCTCTAGAATGGCTGTATTAGAGGTTGTTTCTTGTATTTAACTTTGTTCACTTCAAAATAGTAGCATTAGGCTTTGTTTTTTGATAACTAATTGATTTTTCCAAGTATTTTTTTCCAAGTATTTTTCTCAGGGAATGCTCCAAGAATATCTTACTACCTCTGCAAACTTATAGGCTTAAGTTGCTCTTAAACCTATTTTAGTAATGTTTTTCATCTCTCCCTGCTCTCACATCCCTGCTACAGTAGGTGTCAACAGTCCCTCTGAGATGGGGTTCTTAGTCTTTAAATAAAATTCAAAAACTTAGGTATCAGAAAGGACTAAAATGTGCTCCTGAACTTAAGACTGAAGGAAAGACAAGGGACCTTGAGCTGAATGTGCACAGAAGAGGTCAGCAGCTGTTTGGTGATTAAGCAGGGGTTTACTGTGGTTTTCTGTTGGAGCCTGCAGATTTCCTTAATGAGCTGGCACCAATGGCCACTTGCTGCTTTAGACACCTCAAAGACAAAGCAGACCTTTTTTTCAAATAAGTAAAGGTTCTACCACCTGTAATCACTTGTCTATTTGGCATCTATTCCCATCCTTGGCTCCAGATCTACATATCCAAATGCCTTCCCTTTATTCACTGGAGGGTTTGAATTCAGAGCTGTAGCCCTACTTTAGCAACTGTAGGCAGGAAAGCAAGAGCCCCAGGCAGCTGACCAGTAAGAGAGCTGCAGCCAGCCACATGCTCTCATTTCAGCTAAGACTTTTTTATTGTGTGGAAACCCACCGAGGAACTGGAAAAAAAAAAAAAAAAAAACAAAAACAAAAAGCCTTGTGGAGCAATTTCAGAACCACTACAGTAGTTCTGACCTCTCTGGGATAGTAGTGTGGGGATGGAGAGCAGATTTGTGATCCAGGATACTCCTCACTCCATCCTCCCTACAGGAACTGGGCCAAGCTCTGCAGAAAGAAACAGGAGAACAAGTGCTAAACCTGCTTTGATAGGGTGCATAGAGCTGCTTAAAAGGGAAGTTTGGCAGTCTAGAGAGCAGGAAACATCTTCATCTGAAGTGAACTGACACCAAGTGATGCTGGAAGATAGGGAATTCCAAGACTTTGGCAGAGAGTAGAAACAAATCTGAGTTCTACATGTGCTACAAGGTAGAGATGTGAGAAGAGCCGGGGATGGAGGCCATCACAAATCACAGCTTGGTGGACCCCTGGGACACCTTTGAAAAAGTGTAAATGACTCCTTTGTTGATGTGAAGGTCAATCATAAGGAGCCAGCAGCTCTCCTATGAGCATGGCCTCTGGGCTGGCCATATACTCACCTGAGACATCAAGGTAATGCAAACTCCTGTGAAATGAATGTTCCTTGTCCAGGAGAAGCAGCAAGATCTTAGCAAACAGCACTTGGGGTGGGAGGGCAGCAGGGCAGTGGGACCATCTGGTGAGCATTATGTGAGTAGCTGCTGTAATTGCTGGGCTCTGTGAAGGAGCAGCAGAGCCTATTCCTCCACATTTGGCTGTAAGCAAGGAGGTGCTGCTGCCCTGCCAGAGCAATCTCTGGCTGCAGCCTCACACAGGACCCAGACCCACCTTTAGTTATGGTTCTGGCACCCCCACTTCTTCCTTGGAGCAGATCTGGAACTGTCACCTTGCTTAGGGACAGATGATCCTTTAACTTGGCACTTACATTCCCAGCCAAGTCTGTCTGGATGAGATGCTGCTGGGTCCAGCAGAAAAGCTCCTTCTATTCCCTCTTCCCTGCTAGGATGTAGAGAAATTTGAGAGGGGAAAAAAAAATTGGAGGTGGAAAACCCCTCTCTACTTTTGTTCCTGTCATTTGCCCATGGCAGTGTTCTATCTAAATGATTTTCATGCAAAATGTAACCCTGGTAATGTTTATTTAGATGGGGGCTACCAGGGGTCATCACTTCCCTCTGTCCGTAGAGCAGGCGCCTGCTTTGTCCATGATCCCCAGCTTTAGCTGCTTTCCTGGTGGAATGTAAACAAAGGCACCAAATGCAGGACTTCTGCACAGGGGTGCCAATACCTACAGCGCCTCTCTGCATCGCAGCCTCACTGCTGCCCAGGTCTCTCCCTCTGCTTTGGGCAAAGGACAGGACTTGTAGCCGTTGTGGTAAGACCTGGGCCTCGGGGGCTGCAGAGTGAACTGAAGCATCACAGCCCCCCCCCACCTGTGACTGAGAGTAAAGCTGGGAAGCAAAATACCAGTTAGAGAAATTACCTTAAAACGTGTTACTCACACCTAATCCCTGTCCCCTCCTGAAAGGGATTGATGGTGCAAGAGAACAACAGCATCTGTTGCTGGAGGGAGAGCTTCCTGAAGAGCAGATGGAGAGGCCGTGTCCTGGGGGGACCCTCACTCCTCCTGCAACCAAGATGTCATCAGCTGTCAACAGGATGGAGAAGATGAAGAAGAAACAGAACAAGGTGCCTCAGAGATACCACAACTTATCTGAACTCTTAAGTGTAGCTCTAGAGATGGAAGGCTCTCTTGGGGTTTGAAGGAGAAATTAGGTCTTGATGAGTTTTTTCTTTGATCCTCCAAAGCTAGTCTTACAGACAATGTCTCACTGAAGTAGCTTGGCTGCCAGACTGCATAACCAGGCCTTGACCATAGCAGGCACCAACACCTGCATCTGGAGTTGCCAACAGCCCTGTCCCAGGATGTGGCTCCTTCCCTGGGCACAAGCGGCCCCAGGTGCTGCTCGGGCCGGGGCAGCTCCAGCAGAGCCTGCAGCCAGGAGCCTGGTGGAGGTGGCTGGGTTTTGTTACACACATTTGAAGCCTGCAAGGTGCTCCTGCATGTGGCTGCTCCCTTCCCATGGCTGCAAAGCCTCGCCCGCGTTCTGCTGTGCTGGGTGTGCTTCGTGCTCGCCCGGAGCGGCCCGTGAGGGCAGGGCCACATGTGGCTCCAGCGGGTCGGACCCCTGGCACGGAGGGTCTCTCCTGGCCCCGGGATGGATGCGGGGCTGATGCGAAGGCTCTGACCTGGCGCCCATCCCTTACCCCGGCCCGGCGGGGTGAGCACCCCGCGAGTGCCGCCGGCCGCTGCCCGGGGCGTGGGGAGGGAGCCCGTGAGGGGCCCGGGGCCGGGCGCGGCGAAGGTGCCGGGGCCGCCTCTCCTCCCCCCGCGCCGCTTCCTTTTATATCGATGCGGCACCGCCGCCCGCAGCCACAACCTGCGGCCGTGACGCCGCCGGCAGCCGGAGGGACGAGGCTGCGCCCCGTGCCCAGGTAAGGGCTGCCCGCGGGGCAGCGGCGAGGGGCGGCTCGGCGGGATGGGGATCGCCTCAGGAGCCGGGAGGAGCCTGAGCGGAGCCCTGGGGTGGGCGCCCGTGGGGAGCCGCGGGGCGGAGAGGAACGGGAAGGAGCCGGGGCAGCTCCCGCCCCGCTGCCCCCATCCCCGGGCAGGATGCTCAGCGCTGCCCGGGCAGCCCCGCGCCCTCCCGGCCGCCGGGTGCTCCGTGGGGCCGTGAGAGAGCCCCGGGCGGCTCTGGCCGAGCTCCGCTTCCCCCGGGCACGGGCGCTGCGAGGCCGCCCTGGGGCTCGCCGGGAGGGGCCGAGGCGGACCCGCCCCTGGCTGCGAGGGGCGGCAGGCCGGGCAGGGAGGTCCTGTGTGCCCCGGGTCCGGGCACGGACGTGGCAGATCCAGCGACGCTGTGACAGCCCCCACACCAACCCACAGCAGCTCCAGTCACTGCCGGACTGAAGCCGAGCCGCGGCACGCTGGGCTGGGAGCCGTGGTTTGGTCCTGTGTGCCATGGGTGCTGCGTCCTGGGCTGGGAGCAGCAGTGACCATGTTAGATGGAGGCCTTTTGTACAGATGCTGGGTGCCAGGCCGAAGACTTATTATTTGTCCTTGTTCATGCAAATCTTGTGCCTAAAAGTTCAGCCCAGCCGGGAGAAATGTGCTGGACCGGCTGGTGAGAGGGTGAGCACTTCTGCTTTGGGGGATCTGGTACTTCCTCATCTGGGCAGGAACGGTGGTGTGGTTGTGATCATGACTCTGTGTGAAAAATACCCCTCTCTTGAGCAAGCTGTAGAGTTTCAAAAGGGTTAGTGCTGAAACAGAATAGCACCGAGCAGACCCTAAACAGAGAAGATTACCCGGCTGTATGGTTTGGAGCAGAGTTACCCTTTTGCCATTAAAAAATGAATTTTTATGCCTAATAACCATTTTTAATTTAAGCAAAAATGTGTACATTCTCTCATCTAAGACCCAAAAAGCCATGAAGGATGATGCTTATTCAGTGTTTTGTTAGGTACGTGATTAAAACAATAGAAATGCCCTTTTTTAAAAATTCAAACAAACAAAACACTGCATCTTCACCCCAAACTAAGAAGTGCTTTGAAGAGATGTGGGGTTTTAGTGGAATTTTAATGTCCTCTTTGTTTCAGAGCTTGACTGAAAATGAGGTTGGCAATGGCTGCTGCCTGTTTAATGTTGAGGAGGACAGAACTGATGCTATGGGGAGTTGAGGAGTGTTCTCGGTGCCTACATGTGCTCTGAAGGACTCTCCTGGGTGCAGAAAGACACCCTGGGTCATTTCAGTGCTTGGCTCTGCTCAGGGTCATCTTGTCTTAGAGAGAGGCAGCATTTGCTGCATGGCTCTTCCTGGGTTCCCTGCTCAGCAGGGATCAGGAGCCTGTCCTGTCCAGGCTGCAGGATGCTCTCCAGCTGCTGTTGCAGACAGCAGTTCCTACCTGCTGCTTGTCCTTGCTCTCTGGGAGCACTGCTCAGGCCAGAAGCCTCATCAGTGCCTTCTCTGACAGTTGTCACCCCTTGCTTTCCCAAGGTTGGTGATGTGGTTTCCTCCATGGCTCAGCAGGGTCCCCTGTCATGAAGGAGCTTCAGAGCAGGTCTGAGGCAGTGAGACTAGGAAGACTAGGAAGCACTGAGCATCCAGTAGAACAGTTGTACCAACAGGACTTTTAAAGACAATTCCAATAAAGTCCAGAGCATCCTTTTCTCTAACTGAGATCAATAGTTCAGACTGCTCAGCAAAAGAGTGTGTGCAATGGATTTTCAATAATCAGCACAACACAGCACAGCTCAGGCTTGAGGAAAAAATTATTAGGCCTCATTCTGTGCCTCTAGATGTGAATGAGCCTAGCAAGAGCACTGGGGAGGCTGATGCACCGAGGGGAGTTAAAAACGTTAATGCTGCCTCTGAGCATGGAAGGGCACAGCCACTCTCAACTGCTATTTATTTATTTGAACTCAAAGGTATCAGAGGATACGCAGTGGCTCACAAAAATAAAGGCTGGTATTTGAGATACTTCCTGTTCTTGTTGGAGGAGAACAAGGCCCAGAGTATTTTGAAAGTAAAAGCATATTTCCTGTGAAAAACTGCTGAAGTGACGTGTGAGATTGTTTCGGAGCTGGAGGCACCGGCGATGATTCAGGCCAGCAGTGCTGGCAGCTGGGCTGGTGTGGGGCCGAGGGGAAGGTGCTGAGCACCAGCCTGTCTAAACCTGCAGACAAGGCACAGGCACAGCCTCATGTGCTCCTCTTGCTGCCCTGGGAACAGGAAGACAGGCTGTGTCCTCTGGCTGCAGGCAGCCTCAGGGGCTTGACTCGGGTCTAGAGTTTGGTCTGCCAGCAGGTATAAGCAGACCTGCTCTGGTTAAATACATGCTCCAGAAGCTTCATAGAGAGCCAGTGTACTACCCAAGCACAAAGGTGATTCCATTGTGGTATCAGGACTGCTTCTGTAAGATGAAGGTCATTCCTGCATTGCTCTCTCTACCCTGACTTAGAAAGACTTGTCTCTGAGGTTAGTTCAGTCCAAGACCTGTCCTCCTGATTGTCTGGTTTAGGTTTTCATTTAGTGCTTATCATGGCTGCGAGCCTGCTTATCAGCTGAATCACTGCCCCCATGCAGACCTGCACGGTTCCACAGAGAGCTGAATCCAGCTCTCTGGCTCCCAGGAGCCTTCTCTCCCCTGCAGCAGCTCAGCTCCGAGGGAGGAGGTGGCTGGGAGCAGAACACAGCCCTGACAGTCTGCTGGAACACAGTTGCCAGAGCTGGTTTTCAAATCTGCAGCAGGGCTGTATCTCACAGTGGGTAGGAAGCACTTTGCACAGTGTCTGCAGTTACTCAGCTGTTGGAAACCTTTGTTCTGTGCTGCTCTGTGTGGAGCTTGATATAGCTTGGATTTTTTTTTTTTTTTTTTTTTTTTTTTTTTTTTTTTTTTTTTTTTTTTGGTGCTTGAGTTCTATTACTGTCTTTGCTGGGTGTATTTTAAAACAAATGCACACATGAATTTATTCCCTTGAGGTCTTTCTGTACTAGAGATGCTCAGACTGAGTGTATGCGTGACCTTGTGGAAATAGGTGGGATAAGTCTAATAGGTAGCTTTGATTTCCATTTCCAGCAGTTTTTCAGGTGGTGCAAGCTGCTTTTCTATCATAAAAATTCATTTTTCCTAAAATTTCTTTCTAGAGCTGGGTTTGCTATCTGTTTTGCAACAATGCTCTATGAATTGATCTATCCCAGGGTACCTAGTGGACAAACTCATTTCCTAAAGGCTTGCTGGATAGAAAGGGAAAAAAAACATGTCTTCTGACTACATCAGAAAACTAGGCAGTGTATCTGAGTCTTGCTAAGATAGTCTTTGTCTCAACTGAGAAATAGGACCCCCCAATCCTAAGCATCTGCCTTGTTCCCAATCTCGAGGTCAAACCTCCTGGCCACAACCCTCTCTATTTAAGAAAAAGATGTAGACACAAGTTGTAATCTGCGCTATGAAAATCTAATCTGTGACCTAATTTGTTGTGATACCATGAAGAACCTGTCAGTAGCAATCATCGTAACGCGTGGCACGGAGGCACTGCCGGCTTTCCAAGAGTGCTCGCTCGCCGTAGCCCCAGAGGAGCCGTGTCATGCCGAGTGAGTACATTTGGCCTCCTCCACTGACAAATCTGGGAATAATGCAACTCTCAGGTCACTTTTGTTATTATTTTATATGGAAATGGCAGTCCTTCAATGTGTGAAGGGAGCCTTTTCTGAGGATCTCTGTGGAACAGGGTGGTTTGAAACATGCGGGAAGGAATGAGATGCAACCAAAACTGGACAATTTTCTGTGTGTGCCATAATAGCTGTTTACCTGTCTGTTGTTCATTCTCCATGACCATGGCAGCAGCTTAGATGAAACCAACTCACTGGATGAGTGGTTAGAGGAGGGACTTGTCTGAATAACTTCTCACCAGTGGGAGCTGTGGTTGCGTGGGCTGATTCTCACAGGGCAAAACTGGCTGGCTTCTGGTACAGCCCCTTTGGGCCAAGTATGTTGTCCTTTAAGGAGCAAAAACAAGATTTTTTTTGGTGCATTGCTGAAAACAGAGCACTGTCAATCTTGTTCTGCAAGACTAGAGAACGAAGGAAAGGTTTACAGGTCACGAATGCACGTGTAATAGGCTGGAAAACTGGGAACTGTACTCCTAGGTCCCTGCACTGCTACATCTGTCAGGGAAAAAAATCTTAACTAAGAAACTACTGCTGTATCAGAAACAACAGAGCTGGGCTTCCATTTTGTTCTAGAAATAACTGTTTAATTTTTTTTTATATTATCCTTCAAATGCTTTACTTGAAAGTACTAAATTAAAATTTACAGGGGCATGCAGTCTGTTGAAAATGGCTAAAATCCATGTCTGGTTAGTGAGACCATCAATTCATTTGGACTTTGACATCCAGTAACCTAGATCCTGTAAGATACATGTGTGTGCTCTGCTGCCTCTCTTTCTTGCCCTCACTGGAGCTACCTGTACTGCTGTTAAGGCATTAGATCTTAAGATGTCTTCTTTATTTTGAGCCTCCTCTTTATTTTCAATGCTTTGTTCCCTAGCATACATTAGGTGTATGTTAGCATAGAATACTTGCATTCTGGTAGTAATCTGCGTGTTCTTTTTTTTTTTTTTTTTTTTTCTTTTTTTTTTTTTTTTTTTTTTTCTAATTTCAGTGTACTTTTGCCCACCCTGAGCACTCAGAGCTCAAGTTTCAATGTGTTATTTGTTGATTTTTGTTCACTCCAGACTTTTCCCTCCACCCACTCACTTCCTCTCACAAACGTTTCCTCATTTCACCACTTTTTCACACCCATTTCTAGCACAGGGTTGCCTCCCACTGTGGGCAGGCTCAGCACTTCATCTACTGTTCACCTCTTCGGGAGATGGGCGACAGTTCCAGGTGTGAGGGGAGGAGCAGAGGGAGGAGAAGGTGCTTGCCCATGTC